TGCTGTTGTCGTCGAGCTGTCCCCCGCTTCGCGCTATCATGCCACTGCCTCTTGTTTGAATAAACGTGTTCTCGTTAAAACTGGATTAATCAATTAGTCGTCGTCGTCGTCGTCGTTGTGTCCCGTCGTTTTTGCGCTTGTTATGCAAACGAGATTTTGCTGCGTGCTGCTCGTGTTTTTAGAATGTACACGGTGTCGAAGGGAAATAGGTCGTTTGCATTATTCGACGGATTCTTTGCTGAGTGGGGTGTGGAGCGGGAATTATGGAAATTTATGGCGGATGATGAGCGTCGAACATTTGGACGTTTTTAATCAATACTATCATTGAAACTGAATACGAATATTTTTTAATTCAACGGCGTTGAAGAACAGTAGCAACTATTTTTTATGAAAAAAAACTGTGACCTCACTTGATTCAGATTGAATGAAATTATTATGCACAGTGATTCTCGATTTCGTTAAACAGACAGTCGAATATATCGTAGATTGTACGTGACGCAAGAAAGTACAGTAGCAAAAAAAACCCTTTTTTCTGTCGTCAACGTACCGGCCATTTGGACGCAAGTAGTTACTTTACATAACACTGGTATGATTTTGTGTATATTATTAATTTTTTTCGCAAAGATTTTCCAGCAATTTTAGTAAAATCATTTAAAACCTTTAGTACAATCTTCAAGACACGATTGAATAAAGTTCAATTGTCGGATTTCTCGGAATTTGAGTAAATAATGAGTTTTTTTATTCATGGTTAAAGATAAGATAATGGTCAATCTGAAAATATACAATTCTTTTAGTCAATGAAATCACATTCATTAATGTTACGTCACTGTGCACAGCGGTAAAATTTTGTAGTATTGCTATATTTATTGGATAAAATTATTTCATTAAAACAAATTAACAGAATACAATTAATTTAGTTTCGAGAAATTTCCCAAAGAATTTTCCGAGTAATGAAAAATCTCACCCTCACCGCTAAATCTAAGGGCGCACTTGAAAATGACTGCTCACTTACGTTGCGAGCAACTCTCTCTTGAAAATTTTCCAAGCACGCGCACTTGAGTCGCGCAGAGTGTAGTAGTTCAGTTTTCCCGAGCTTGGTGTGGCTGGCATTTCAAAAAAAGAGTTTCGTATAAGAAAATAGCCCCGAACAGAGGCATGAAAAAGATTGAAGAAAGTAGTTCATGGAAAAGGGACCAAAAAATGTATAGTATCAGAAACACCCGGTGTGTAAGTAGTTGAACTGGCATTTTTTTTCTCTGATGCGCTTTGCCAGGAAATCGTTTGAAAGAAAACTTGGGTGAATTTTCAAAGTGACCAAGATGACGATTAAAATTTTTTTAATGCATAAAAAAATATCCTTAAAATTTTTTTTACATTTTGATTACTTTAATGTTACAATTTCTTGTGAGTTAAAAAAAAATGTTTATCCAAAAAGTTATAAGTTTATCAAGTTTCAAATCATGGTATTCTTTATATATTTCGTATACTCAATTTGCAAGCTAACATATATTTAAAATCCTTGTATGATTGATATGACATCAAAACGTGTGACATTGTACAGATAGCATATCTCCGGAATGATAATAAGAAAGTCTCAAAACCAGCTGCTGGTTACAGCTACACTTATGCCATGTGGTATGTTAAATGAAATTAAAGTATAAATTGTTGATTGAATAAAATCGAAGAATTAACTAAAAGTTTAAGAGTAGTATCTGAAAACACATTCGAAAAAGTCAGTAGTACATGTTCAAGTTTGGGCAGACGTAGCTTCAGGCAACACAGCTGATCCTTCAAACCTACTAAATTTGTCATTAGCATTATATAATGTTTTTTACATATTGTGTAATTTACCGACCCAATAGTTGCCTTTTTTGTTTTTTATTCGTATAGCAAGACACAGACAAAAAATCAGTAGTGCATATCCGAGTTTGGTCAGACACACCTGCAGGCATTGTAGCTCGTTTTTCTAAACTACTGAATTTGTCAATAGCATTATATAATGTTTGTTAAACATGTGAGTTGCCAATCCAACAGCTGTCCCTTACGTTTCTGATTCGTACTTATGAAAAATTTTTACCCTCCAATACTTTTTTAATTTATAAAAAAAAATAAAAAATAAAACAATAACAATAATTTTTTGCCATTAAAAAACTTTTTATCACAAGTTATAAATTAAAATTTTTCTTTCACCTGGATATATAACCATTAATAAAAGTTACTTATTGTAACCGCATAAAGTCTCTAAAATCATATTGAACCACACTATTTGCTCCGGAGCTTCCCTAAGGACACACTAAGTAAAAGCCTTGAAAAAAGGAGGAGCGACGATGGCGTCAGTGCTCACGGAGCGGCACGTAGCTTAGGGACTGTAAACGAGAATCACCGCGCTGCTCTTCTCGTACCCCGAGTATCTACGAAGATACTGTTTTGGAAGATATACGTGATGTAAACGACCGAGAGGCTTATTGGAGAAAAGTGTATGAGAATGAGAAATGGCACGTCCTCCCGCGAGCACAGTAAATCCCGCGACGTGATTCTTTATTTTCTCTCATTCGTGCAGTTGCAAGAAGGGAGAACGGTAGAGAAGAGCGATGGTGCCGCTGCTGATTTTTCTCTCTTGCTCTCCAAATGTAAGTACGCGTGACAACGTGTGGGTGTATGTGTGACACTCTCACTCTCGATCCACGTTAAGAATCTGCAAGTATCTGTCAGCTTTGAGAAATTACCTTGGCAGTCAGCTTCATTTTTCGTCTCCTATTCATTGGAAGTAGATAATACAGTTCGCACTTGGCATTTATTTCGGCTCATTTTAGGTTCCTCGAACATATATATTTTTTTTTCCTATGGTAACCTATATTACTATTAAAACTCACATTTTCAATTACTCGCAAAAAGTACCAGGAGACATATTATTTTATTCGGGAATAGACCAGCTCACAATCTCATTTCATTCACAGCTTAAGTTCCAATTGCAAAAAGCAGCTGCAAATAACCCACGAGCCAAAAGCTACCGTTCAAGCCATCGTTGTGACATGCTCTTGAATTCCCATCCCAATTGTTTCCTTCCTCCAAAAGGCTAGTACCAGCAAAACAGCAGCAGATCCGGGTATCGTGTAGCTGACCTACGAAATGGTCCACGAAGGATAGAGCTTGAGAGTTGTGTGATGTAGGTGTATGGATACGTACGTGAGCCGCGATGAGCTTTATGTGCGATTCAGTACCCGAATGGTGGAGAGCGAGAATAAGTACGTGTCTGGAAAGGTTATACCTGGGCTTGGTAAAAAAAGTTTTCTTTTTCTCCATTGCTGCTACTCGGGACGCATATTTCATTTTGATTTTTATCTCAGTGAAATGGCCTTTCGAAGGAATACTCTCGTAGTCATTGTTTTTTTTTTTTTTTTTTTTTTTTTTTTTTTTTTTTTTTATAAGTAAATCTGAAATATATCTTTTCAACACCTTTTTATGTAGCGCTACATTGAGTTCTTAAAGTTGTACAATCTTTTACTTTTTAGTGGCACAAGATTGTAGAAGTAATGTACTATAGAACGTATAAGTAGAAGTAACTTTGTACAATTATTTTTCCTGAGTTATAATATCTCTATGCAAATAAAATCTCTACTAACTTTAAATTAACGTAATGTTAATTCGAAAAAAAATTTTTTTTTTTCATCACCTGAGGTAAGAGACTATTCTTTTAAATTTAAAGTTTTTACTTTTTCGTCCATTATTGATTTACAAAAAAGTAATTAATTAAGAACCAAACTTTTGATTTACCTTTAATATTTGAATCATATTAAAAAATCACTGCATGTCTGAGTGCTTATGTAAAGGGTACATCGGCAAAATGTTGAAGAGATCAGTAAAATTAAATAAATATAAAATGTAATATATTTAATGTGCTAACTTTTAAAATTATCTAATATCCCATGTCTATTTCCTGCACTGTACAGTCATGGAAAGAAATAATAAAATTTTCCTAAATTTTTCACTCATGCACCATTATTTTCATCTGGAGATAGGTAAAATGTTGACTGAGCATTTGATTTTAAATTCATTAGTTGATTAAAAACCCATTCAAATATACTTTGTTTTATGCCCGATTACTTATAATATTTATTTTACACATGAGAATAAGTGGGTCGTCATGCGTAAACAATATGTTGTTTTAGTAATTGAGTAAGGGGTTGTATCGCAACACATGGCTTCTGCGTGATTTAAAATGAATCTATTTTCCAACAAAATCTTTATATTCCTAAATTTTTTGTTTTTGTGATACAACCCCCTAAGAAAATTAACTCACAATTCAAAAATTTATACTACCAGTTCTAATGTTTTGCAATGTCAAAACAATTTTAAAAATATTAATTCACAAATTTGCTTACCTCTGCTTGCATCGAAAAAACATATCAGTCTGAATATAATAGTTAAAATAAAAATGAAAATGAAATAAAATTTAAAAAAAGACAAAGACCACCATTTAAAAAAGATTCAATGCTCGTTTTCAAATTTTGCAAGAACAGAAAGAAGATCACAATACAAAAAAAAAATCGTTAAAAATAGCTCGGTATAAAAAAAGATCACTTCCAAGCACAAGTCAAAAGCAAAAAACTAAAATCGTCAGAGTAAACAAAGGAAAAATAAAAATAAAAAAACATGAACCAAAATCGGAGGAGGAAGGCTCCGGCGGGGGCCGCTCGTCCATTTCGTCTCTCTCTCTCTCTCTCTCTCTCTCTCTCTCTCTCACCTTACACGCAAATATATGTATATATATACATACACGTATCGTAATGCAAAAAAAAGAACTGTAAATAAATAAAAAAAAAGCTTAAACCAAAACTACAGCAGAGACGAAAAGAGAGAGGGACCGGGTCTCTCGGCGCCCTACAGCCCGGCCGGCGCACTAGACCCAAACGAGCCACGCAGCCGGCCCGACGACTGACCAGTCTTTTTTTCTTCTTTTTCTTTTTGCTTCCATCACGACTAACCGCGCGCTCCGCCAGATACATCTTCACGATCGTCAGCTACCTGATCGGCGTCTTCATATTCGCGACGATAGTCGGCCAAGTGGGCAACGTCATAACGAACCGCAACGCCAACCGGCTGGAGTTTGAGCGGCTACTCGACGGCGCCAAGACTTACATGAGACACCACAAGGTGCCCGGTGGCATGAAGAGGCGCGTCCTGCGCTGGTACGACTACAGCTGGTCGCGCGGGCGCATACAAGGCGGTGGTGACATCAACACCGCGCTCGGGCTCTTGCCCGACAAGCTCAAGACCGAGCTCGCCCTGCACGTCAATCTCGCTGTGCTCAAGAAGGTCACCATCTTCCAGGTGAGTCCCAAGCCATCTGTCCCTCTCAAGAGGGCACAGCTAAAGTTTTTGCGAGTAGGCTCTCTCGTTCCGTAGTTGGTTGGTATAATATTACGATGAGGGGGTTATAATAAGAGAAGAGGTACAAAGGTGACGCTGGGCTCTATATTTAGACTGCGAGTGAAAAATAAGAGGAAAAACACCCTCGTCGGCTGGTAATTTGCAGTATTATAATTATGACAGTAATAACAATAATGATGATGATGGGGGTGGCAGTAGAACGCTTGCCTCGTCTCGTTTTATGTTTTTAGGGTAGGTAGTGTGCCAGTATACGTATATACGCATCTCAGCGTTGATTATTATAAAGCATCGTGCTCGTATGCTCGCACTGTGGCGTTCGCTTTGTGTACGTTAACGAAAGTTCGCTGCGGATGACGTAGGGTAATGGAGCATGCGTAAGTGAGTATATTTTTGCATGAATATTTTTGCATCCTTTTTAGAGGTTGCTTTTCTTTTTTGTGTGGTTGATCGATCAACTGTCATTGAATTCAAAGTTATTTTGGCATTATAAATGTTTTTTTTAAACAAAAAAACGTATATCGTGAAAGTAAAAATGTATGTCCTTGCTGCATCTCCTGCAAATAAAGTAAGCACTGAACTCTCATTTGATTCAGTTTTCCCAAATAATTTTTTATAAATCTTTATGACAATAATATAACTATGAGGTTTTTTTTTTTTTTTTTTCAGGAATAAAATTATTCAAAACAGAGGCATATCTATGGCACTTTTGGAGTACATTTAGGCATGAAATATTTATGTAATGAAAATGACCAAATTGAACTTAAAACTTTTCGACGAAAAAAAAGTATGTTTGCATACTTTTTCATTCCTCCTTTCTCTTTTGTTTTTTACATCTATTTGTTGTCCTCGATTACAGTCACTTTGTTCAAGATGATGTATAAGTCCCTTGTTGTTTTCTATTTATTTAGGATTCAATTTAATACCATGACTATTCACAGTCGTATACGTTGTTGTCCTTGTTGGGATGACTCATCGAGACGGAGCTCTAATACCAGATCATATAGCCCGAGTTTTAAAAAGTGGCGAAAGTTTTGTCACGTTGGAAGGGATGGGTGAAAAAAATAAATACAGGAGTAAGTCAACGTGGAGAATAAAAAGTGGCACGAGTGCAGTTAAAGTTGGAATACATCAAACTTAGTTACAGCAATATCCGGGTCTCGTTTCCAGTACTGTCAACTTTACTGCCGGAAAACTTTTTTTTTCCTCCGGGCGCAATTTGCATGTCTCTCCTCTGAATGTACCGAGCGTTTGATGACTCTCTAATAGCAGCAATGAACTTTGTATGCTAAAAAGGCCGAAATTATCGGGAAAACCGGTGAATCGATATTTTCCCTTCTTTGTTCCTCCCGTGTGCTCATGAGGTGCTAGAAATATTACAATGTACACGCTTGATCGATGTTATTGGGCGCGTGATTGGAAAATTTTATTCGACCAACGTTTCACTTTTTATTTCCCTCGTCGTCTACTGCGTGAATAGTTCGCTTGCTGGACTATTTCTTTAATCTACTGCTTATTTTTATTGATGCAATGCCAGGCACATTCTTAATTTTTGTTGTATATTTTGAATAAAAAATCCCTATCCTAAGAAATTACGGAAAAACATCAACTGAACAATGCAACTATTTTAATGATCGCGTATCTTTTATTCCACATGAAGATTTGATTAAATTACGATCGATTCGAAATTGGGCATTAATATCAGTCAGACAAACATGACCAAATAAAAATTTCAAGTTACGAAAACACAAAGGACTTTTCCATAATTTTTTACCGACTCCTAATCAAGGATTCAGATCGCACGCCCAAAGAAAAATCATAGCACATCCAGCACGAAATTCCGACCGAAAATTGAAAATTTTTCAACAATCATGGAATACGCAAGGGCATGCAACATGAGGGAGAAGCTGAGTGCTACGTCGTATATGATTTACAATGTCTCGACCCCCCGAAAGCATAGACACAACACGTTAAATGTGGCACCCCAAGCTCAGTGACCTTCTAGCCCTCCTAATTCGTATTCATACGAGCATACAAACTAGAATCAAGTTGACGACGATCGGAGCCTCCCCTACATTTTGTTCCCGCTCGATGGAGTAAATTGGTCATCCCAGTCAAATGGACGCTTTGCCCTCCCTCCTCTTCTCTTCCCGGGCGTAGCGGGATATTCTGCCGTACAATAGAGGTGCTTCTTCATTTGGCTCACGAAAATTTAATACAGACTCGCAGTGACTACGGCCTTTTTTTTACCCCCTGCGCAGCAAGCGTGGGTCCTTCGTCCATTCTCCGTCTTTTCGCTCTGCTGGAGGCTCATCCAATCGGACGTTTATAAAAGTTATAAGCAGTGACTTGGCCATGATTTTGGGATCTAGTGTGTACTTTTTATCCGCAGGGGACACAAATACTTGGCCGGACCATGTGGGGTCCAAAAATCGTGTAGGTATGTACGTAGGGAATGCAGGACACGGAGTTAAAGAGAATAAGCTAATTTAGTAATACATGGGATCTGTCATGGATTTTATTTTTGAAGATTGTATTTCAAACTACTGCTCTAAAATAGAGTCTAGAATACATGTAGTTTCAGTTAAGTGTGCATATGTCAGCTGTGTAGGAATAGATGTTTCAATATTATTTCCTACGATGATTTCCAATGTTTAATTATTTTGTGGTACAGTTAAAGACACAAAGTGATTGTAACAAAACAAAAACTATTTTAATCAAGGTCACTGCTCCAAATATTTTATGAAATAATAAAAATAATAATTACCGCTACTGAGACATTTATTCTTTTAAATTCGTAGGTTTTGGACTCAATGTTCCAAATGAGTAATTTGTATTTGTGCTTACAGAGACACGAAAAGACTCACCCCAGTGTCCAAGAAAAAACTAATGAGAAAGCGACAAATTTGGCCCACATGGCCCAAGCGTTTATGGGAAAACTTGTATTACCTACTTGGCCACACTTTATGTACAAGAGGAGGGACAAAAATATTCATCCAAAGAAAGTGAGAAACAAGTAGGCGCCCCGAGGATAATGCTCCCTCCTTTGTCTGTACCAGTACGTGCGAGAGCGGCTAGAATGTGTTTTTCTGGATACGCACGCATGGACCAGCATGCGGTCGGCGGCTTTCCCTCGCTGGAGGCATGAACCGACTGCCAAATGAATCCTGACGTATTATTTTTCTTCTCCTCCTCCTCTCTCTCTCTCTCTCTCTCTCTCTCTCTATCTTCCAGGTATACATTTGAACTTGTTGAAGCGAGTCACGTTCTGAACTTAGGGATTTCGCTGAAACGAAAGCTCGTGACTTTGACTCTTTGGCCTTTGCCATGCGGTGCGGCGTCTTACGTTGAAACACAGGCGAGAAAAGAATGAAACACACTCGAAGGAAAGAAATTTTTGTCATGTTGACTCCTTTAACGCGTTCGATGGATGATGATACGATGTTCTATGTGAGAACTATCGCACAGAGTTGTAATTATAGAAGACAGAATAAGGGTACAGCACAAATGTTGACTATTATTGGGTTGAAAGAGTTTTTATTATTATTATTATTATTATTATTATTATATTTAAGGGTAAATAGAGTTCGTAAAAGTGTATCATTAGATATAAGAAGAATTTTTCTAGAACCCTGTGTATTACTTTACGATGTATTTTATTCTGTAATAGAAATCCATTTTTCAAAACTTACAAGTCATATAAATTCAAAGTGTACGCAATAAGCCCACTAGTTGGCAGAAAATGAATCCCAGCTTGGAGGTTGGAGCCAACAACTTGTAGAGCTTACGTTCAAAAGCAATCATTATCACCCTAATCCTTTATTCATACGTAACAGCTCACCGATTGTAACAGCGATTGTAAAAATTATTGAAACACTCATGTTTTTCAGAACAAAGTCAGTCGTTGTGTTGACAAGGTAAAAACTTAAAAATGAAAGAAGTACAGTCAGTGGCATGAGGGGAGGTAAGCTTTCCTCCCTATTATTACAGTTCTACTCCATAATTACTACGTACGGCAGATAAGGGGCTTTGAGTCGTTAATTAGCGCGTGTAGTAATTGAGAGACAGTTGCTCCTGCGTATGTCAAGGAGGATGATGTTCGAGCTTTCGACAACGGATTCTTTTTGCGTCACGGATCGATGAATCGTAGACACACGGTAGGTAACATATCGCTGCCATGATACTCTTCAACAGCAGCTTCCATTTTCTAATGGTTTGTCTTCTTTAGTTACTATTAATGAACAATTAAGTGTACATTTTTTCCGTAATTTGATGTAAAAAAGATCTTTTTTTTTGTAGTTACTTAATTTTGAGTATGTCAACTGAAAAAAATTCCCTACTTTCGTTTGGAAGCTAGTAGTATTAACCGATTATGGTCAGACGAGTGTCTGATTTTCATGAAAATTATACGAAAATTTACTTGATTAATGGGTAGGTATCAGTTTTTTTTCTATAAGTATGCCATTATATAAGGCTGGCAACAAATACAGATGAACTAGATTTTGAGTCTTTCGTTTTTGCTGTTTCATGATGTACGTAAACGAAATGGTCTACCCTATTGACAACCCAAGCTGCGCAAGTACACTTTATATGCATAATGTAGCTATCCTAAGTTAACTGTAACGAGCGAGAGAGCCACGATAGGGACCATATGACTGAAAAAAAAAATTAACCCTTACGACCACGAACAATAAGGCTCTAATCGTCGTTTGTCTTAATTAAACAGGAATGCCAGCCAGAGTTCCTGCACGACCTCGTGCTGAAGATGAAAGCCTACATATTCACGCCCGGCGACTCGATATGTCGCAAGGGCGAGGTGGCGCGCGAGATGTTCATCATAGCTGACGGTATTCTCGAGGTGATCAGCGAAACCGGCCGAGTGCTCACCACCATGAAGGCTGGCGACTTTTTCGGCGAGATCGGCATACTAAACCTCGACGGGCTCAATAAGTATGTTTTTTTTTGTTCCTTAAATACTGTGAGTTGAAGGTGTTTTTTTTTTAACGAGTGGCTCGATACACTTTTAAGCGAAGAATAATAAAGGTCGATCGTAGAAAACGTGGGTTCGTTTGTAGGGGAAGAAAGAGGCGCCCCACAGTACAGGATGGTAATTGATAACAATTGGAGAAAGTGAAAACGAGATGGTATAAATTGATCGGGCTGGGATTACAGGGAATTTTTATTCGTCTGACGTTTTCAGAAAAATTGAAGAAAAAATTTCAAAGCTAAAAATAAACTAGGGCGTTTTGAGATAAGATTTTTGTTGTCTAGTTTTCTCTTCTACTGTCTTGCAACAACCAAAATATTATGATCGATAGTAACGTTATGTGGGTACTGGTATTGTTAAAAATGTTATTTTCAGAAAACATTAAATAAATGTTGTTGTTTTTTTGTTAATATTACATACTCTGGATAGTAATAACAAGACAAGATAATGACGTATGGCAGTTTGACAACAATATCTATTTTCCTACGTTTTTAAACCGAGCGTACATACCTGTTTTACAAACGGTCAATGGAATTTTTCACTTTTGTTAAAAAATATTGTTTGGTTTGTCAGCAAAAACTAATAAAATCATCCCTCAACTTCAACACGGCTGCAAGATATTTTAAAAAATAAACTTTATGACGTCGTGAAATATTTAAGAAATCGATAGCCACGGCCACCCCAGTACGAAACTTACAATACCCGCAGGGGCCGATGAGTCGTATTTATAGCCGAGCGAAAATACACGCTTTCGAACTTTCTCCCTCGACCCTCGCTCTGACGAAAACATGAGGAAAAAATACTTTAGCTCGGATCACTGCAAATTGAATCGAAAATCCCCTTTTTTAACAACGCGGGGGAAAAATTTTTTTGTCCCGCTAACAAAAAATAACTCGCATGCGTACATGTACACAACGCAAACGGCTCTAGATTTTATCTTATCTAAAAATATAGTCATGTGCTTCAAGCCTTTTTATACGTTAAATGATTACATAAAACATATCATGTAGATTATGTGATAAGTGTTTAAAAAACAATTGTATTGAATTACAGGAATAATAATTAAAATATAATGTATAATGACGCCATTACCTTTGTTCATTCTCTTGAATAACAGAAAACTATGTTTCGTTAAAGTTAATACAGAAAAAACTATACGCAATATATTATACTAATGGAGACGATCATTTATATTCAATTAACGCGTAATGAGTCTTAAGAAATGTGAATTTAAAAATAAGTAAATAGCGGTGTAATTAACAGTTAATGAATATTGATACAAGAAATTTAATATTCCCATTAATGCAGTATGAGCCATTAATTGGGAAAACGTGAATTATCAACTGTTAATAAAAAGATTGATAAAGGCATCTTTGAAAAAATTCAATGAGAGCTAGGAAATCTTACAACAATGAGCTCGTGCCGATTTTCAAATGATGATTAACAGCACTTTCTTTTATACTTACAATACTCTTGTCACGACTGTTGCTATCATCAAGAATAAAAGGGTTACTTGAAGTATCATACCAATTCGGAAAATCGATAGGAACTTTCTCATTAAATTTAATCTACATAAAAAAAACCACTTGTCACTGCATTTAATGGATGGAAAAGTTGTTAACGCAAAAAGTTCTTTTGAATTACCTTTAATAATTGATAAATCGTTTAAACTTTCAATATCGCCAAGAAAATTATCTATAAAATGTCATTTTAAGATGAAGATATATTGTTACGTGAAAAATTACGTCAAAAATTACATTAGTACGATAGAACTGACGTTTCAAACAAAAATCTAATCTAATCTTCAATACGTATAAACAAAACAACATAACTTATAAAAGTGCTTTGAAACAATTTTGCTAAAGTTTTTCGATGGACCCTATACATCAGTATATTTACGAGGGTAAAAGTTATGCGCATACACTCACTCCCTAGCTATAGAATACTTCGTAGTGAGAATTGTTGTAAAAAAATCTAAGGGTTATAATTTATTAGTGATAACAATATAATATTAATCACCTACAATTGAATATTCATTAATTTCAAGTATTTCATCATTGATTAATTGATGTTGATGAAAAAAAAAAAAAAAAAAAAAAAATGTTCTTTGCAGGCGCACAGCGGACGTGCGTTCGGTCGGTTACTCCGAACTGTTCAGCCTGTCGCGCGAAGACGTGCTGGCGGCCCTGAAGGACTACCCGGAGGCCCAGGAGATCCTGAAAAAACTCGGGGAGAAGCGTCTGCGCGAGGCCCAGCGAGTGGCGCGTTCGATCCGGCACCCGCCCTCACCGGGGCACGACTCGTCGGACAACAGCACGGGCAAGCGCATCGTCGACAAGCTCAAGAGCGACGTCAAGGGCCTGAAGAACGTGCTGCGCAAGAGCCGCAGGAACACCCGGCCCGAGGATGGCCTCGAGCTCCAGCCGCTGACCTTGAAGGTGCTGAGGAGGCAGACGCGCGTTGACGAGAGCCAGGACGTTTGCGCCTCGGGTTCGGAGCCTCCGGTCTCGCCCCTTGGCGCTGGGCTGCCCCTGCTGTCGAGGCTCAGGTTGCTCAAGGAGAAGCAGGAGCGCGAGGAAAAGCGGATCCTCGTCGAGGTCGTGGGACAGCCACCGGAGCAGGTATTTCCTTTTTTTTGGTTTTTTTACCCAGATGGGCATCAGAGCTGAAAATACTCTGAAATAATTTATCTTCATTTTCATCAAAGTATTTTGAAAAGCCCACTGCTTCATTTACATGAAATATTTGAATAAATTACTACATTTCTTATTGTATTTGAAGTAACAGTTAAAATAAAATGCTTCAGCATTATCTCAGCTATTACAAATTTTCATGCAAGATCGTTTATTCTTTTTATTTATAACATAATATTTTGAATATTTGAATTTAAATAAAATCATTAAATACATTTGCACTTTTTTTCTTTTTTTTGTAAGAAAATCTTAGTTATATTATTGCCATTACCATTTCAAACGATGGCCTGGACTTTTTATTGCAAACTAGAGAGCTTGTTTTGTTATTTCCTGTTTTTTGTCACAAAACTCTTTTTTTTTTAACAATTAATTTTCATTTATTTTAAATTCGTCATACTTTGTCGAGGCAACATTTTACGTGTGGGTAATAGAAAAGTGAGATTCGACGATTTTCGCGATACCCCTATCCTTTTACGAGGGATTCCTCCAAAAGTCGAGAAGTTTCTTGAAAGCAGTAATGGATGTTCCGCTCCACTGATTTTCCCGAGAGTTTCGAGTTACTCGTGAATCCTTCGGAATTTGCACTTTTCCCTTCTTTCGGGCTGGATCGATGGGTCTACATCGAAATTTTATTTTTTTTAATTTTTTCGGCAACTACGAGTGTCTGTTTGTTATTACGGAGAAACCACAACCGTAAGTAATCTTCGTGTAATAGGTAAAAGTTTTAATTTACCTAGTTTGCTGCTGAAAAGTTTGATTTCACCATGAACCTTCGTTTGCACAAACCCAAACGTACACTTGTATGTCTTGCATAGCTTGGATGGACTCATTTTTTGTTTAACAAATTAAAAAGTTTTGTCGACAGTTTTATGTTTATAGTTCATTGTGTTGGTTTACAATTACGATTCCACAAAAAACGACTACACCAAAAAGTTGTATGATAAATAAGAGAATCATTGTTGATTTTTATGGGTCAATAATTTTCGCCCACGTTGTGCTGTGACGGCAGGTTTTCAATTTTTTAATCTCGGAGACGCATACTGCGATTAGGTGGAGCTTGTACTGCTGCGCAGGCAGGTCCAATCAGCTGTAACAATACTCTAGATTAAAGCTGATAACGTAGAGCTATTGATAAAAGTGGGAGGAAAGGGGTTCCTAATTAAACGTTTATAATTAAGCTACCTCCCTGCAAGTTGCTGAATCGCATCATCGCGGAGAAAATGTTCATCTCTATTATTTTGCAGAGGTTTTTTTTTTTTTTTTTTTAATTAATGCGATACTTTATTTTTGCCGTTCGATTTGACTGAAATTAATGTATGTTTCAGAATGGGGTAATAGAATATTTAATAATTAGACATATCATCATTCAACTGCATTTTAAAAGGAATACCTTAATTACTGGAATGTTTGACTTAGTAACCAGCAAACGACTGCATAATAGTAAATTAAATTATATTTAACGTCTGACAGCTTGGTAAAAAACAACCACTATCATAAAAATTTATCTACAATAATGCCGATGGTAATTTGTTTGTATTCATTTAAAAGAGTCCTAACTTTATTAAAATCAAGGAGTATAAGATACATTTTCGAAATTAGTTTAGACTGCCGTTGCATAAGTTGACCTGTACTACTTAAAATTAAAATAAAATACTGCCGCTGCACACGTCGACCTGTACTACTGAAAGTTAATACAATATTCCGCAGCTTCACACGTTGACCTGTACTACTGATTTACTACCTTGACCCTTTGTCGCACTTTGAACTTTGGCACAGTCAGGTTTTTGGGCTTGAAACTCATGGCAATAATAATAGGTGGTATGAATTAATAAATTTTAGCAATAATAAAAAAAATATGGTTCAAACAAAAAAAAAAAAAAAAATAAAAATAAAAAATACACATATTAGACGAGGGTAAAAAAAAAAATTAAAAATACCTCGCTTTTTGAAAAAAAAACGACCCCATCACCAGAAAAATCGATCCTTAGTACAATTTATTCAACTAATCGTCAAAAACGAAACGATGAAACTGCTATATACCCTTCGCAGGTCCAAACGGCGGTGGAGGTGCAAAACCCGAGCACCGGCGCCAGCGGTGCCAGCAGCACGACCGTAACCGTGCCACTGCTGCAACGGCTCTGGCACATGAAGTCAAAAGCGGAGGTCGAGAACGTGGAACGTGAGGCCATCGTCAAGGAGCCCCTCCTCCCGCGCAACGTCATCCCCGAGGAGAGCGAGATCTTCGCGTCCACGGACCAGCCGGGCGAGACGAAGCAAACAACGACGGCGACGACGACAACGACGACCACGACAATTACCACAACAACGATGACGAGCGCAACATCAACGACGGCGTCAGCCACGACACCGACAACGACAGCGGGGTTGGGTAACGCTTGCTCGCCCACTGGCTCGAGCGGTGAGTTGGACAACGGCTCGATCCGCAGTAGGCCCTGGACGATGCTGAAAGACGCCTCGCTCAAGACCAGCGGCGGCGGCGGTGGTGGTGGTGGTACCAGCAGCAAAGACAGCTCGATAGCGGCCGGTGTCGCGGGTCACCACCAGCCCTCGGCCCTGCGCAACTCCCATCCCCCAGCCACGCGGCCGATCCGCAAGCAGCAGCCCCTACCCTCCGCCCGACACAGTCTCGTCCACATAAGGCAACAGACCAAGAAGTACGCATCGGTGGACGACCTGTCACCCGAGTACTGCGGCCTGCCGTTCGTCAAAAAGCTCAAGATCCTCAACGAGCGGCAGAAGCTCGCGGAGCTCGAGAAGGTGGTGCGCAGCTCGAGCCTTGACTGCGGCGAGGGCGCTGAAGGTGCCGAGTTCGACGGGAGTCTCACGCGCAGCCACTCCGAAGCTTGCGCCATCGAGTACGCGCGCAAGCTCGCCAAGCTCACCAAGGTACGGCATCGGACGTTCTTTTTTTTAATTTATTTATTTCTTTTTTTTTCGGACTGTACTTGGATCGTGTATTTTATACCTATTACATCTAGTAGTAGTCATAGTGTATGTGGTTGTTGAGCATTTTGTGAATACACGATGATGGAATGCTGTCGCTTTAACGGAAGATGCGCGTCGTCTCATTTTTTAATTCATATTTTAATGATGATGTCATTTGAAACTCAAAAACGAGATGATACGTTCTCCCGTGCAAGCGACGATAAACTTTTTAATAACTCTTCTGATGTAGTTGTTTTTCATTCTACCTGATCTTGCTCTGATAACGTATTGTTCCTCCATTTCTTTGTGATGTATGTATCAGTAAGTATTTTTTCTTTTACATGATTCTTGCATTATAATTGAGGAGCTCGATTGATTCAATTTTTGATAGATCAGTACAGAGATGAGAAATACTTTTGTTAATTATTATTTACAGGGACTTGATGCATCCAAGTTCGTTCAGTCGTGGAAGCTGATTTTTCCTTCTTCAAAACTAAGAAAAAAAAAATTAATTTTAACTCATACTAGACAAGGTTTTTTTTATGTTTCAGCTGCCTGTACATGGATCATATTTTTACTTACTTTTACTTTTTCTTTCTCAGCTGATGTACGCGTGTGATGGTCTTTTCGAACGTAGAGTAAATTTTTTATGTCAAGTAATACTGTTTGGTGCAAAAAATTGATGTTGCTTTAAACGTTTTCACGATCTAAGAGACGTGATTTAGTAATTCATGGTCAAGTGTACTCGTACTTATGTAGTCGGTGGTGATTTTTTGTTGCTTCGTTTAATAATTTCAATTGAATTCTGTTTTTTTTTTTTTTTTTTTTTTGGTGGTACGTGAGAGCGTTTTTTTTTTTTAGCAAGAAGCATGTATGGCAAGCAGTGACTGAGTAATTATCTTTTCCAAAATTATTTTTTACTTGGATTTCAACGTTTATGCGAGCCACTTATGCATTTTTTAATGTATTGTGTTGCTCAAATTATAATCGCTTTGCTGCATAACTTTATTCACTGTATTTTTTATCTTTAATAAATTTCTGAATGAAAAAATCAAAAAAATTTCTAAAATTAATTAACACAGCGGTGAATGGACTTTCTTACAAAGGTAATTTTATTAAAACTGTACTGTAATAATAGTAATGTTTTTATCTGAAACTTTTAATGGCTGTAGACAAATATCGAGATATGGTTTTGTTAATAATTATGGGGATAAAAAATTATAATACGTGGATGATATTTTCAAGGTTTGCATATAAATGATCTACAGAGTGAACGGATATGTTCAATTTGTTACTAAAAAAACACAAATAAAAAAAAAATGAAAATTGTGAGAGTAAGAAATAATGATCAAGTCAACAATTAGCTCGAAACTAACGGGATATTCTATGTATGTTCACCAGCTGGCACCGTATACTTCTGCAAGGAAAGCGTCACAGCTTTGGATCAAGGATCTTACAGAACCTATTCTCAAGGCTAAGACATACAGAAAGATTAGATTCAGTAACAGCATAACGTCGATGACAGAACTACTTCCAGTAAATAATCCAAAGTTGTGGCACTCTTCTTTATACACTTTTTTTACTTAACTAGGCAGTTTCATTAGACTTTTGGGGCACAGGTTGCACAGCGAGTATTTAGTCATGCTGAGTTACTTACAGATAGCTTATTACTTCTTCACCACGGAAGTAGTGCTAACTTAGTCTACATCTCGTTAAATCGATGGCTGGGTAAAAAAATGAAAAAATTCCGACAAAAAAAGTTCTCGGAATTAATAATCCAAATCCAAATAAGCCGTTTCGTCAACTTGTTATGTCTCATACTTCAGACAAAAATTCAGACAAGATTTGTGTTTGTCAAACAATTCGAGCATTCTGTACTTACACGAAAATTTTGAAACTTTGAGTGCACTTTTTCGTACTACGTTTCAGAATCAATGTGGTGTAGTTAAATATTTAAAATTAAAAAATAATACGCATGGGACATAACAAACTCAAATCTGAATCAGCTATTTCTTTACCCCGGCTATCGCAGTACAACGATAATATTCTGATTTTATAAATGCAATCATTGTAGGTAGCATTATTATAATCATACCTATCTTGAATATTTAAAAAATGTCTATTATAAAAGCTTGAATTATACTTGTGAACTCTTTAAAAGTCGGATAATTAGAATAATTATTCTATGGTTGGTTCTATACAAAAAACTTTTTTAATATTCTCTTTATATTTGTTTAACCGAAACAAAGATTAATAACTTTTTTTTATTACAAAAAATTATTGTTCGAAGAGCAAAGATCGTTCGCAAGTATATACAACGTAATTAATAAATTTAGCCTTAAAAACCATTAAATACTGTACTGAGAGTGCACCAGCTTCTTTTCGATCAAATATCTTGCATATTGAGTTCAGCATGCTTTGCTCGGCTCGGCTTCAATTAAAATAATGTATGATATTCTACGCAAGTCAAACTTTGAGTACCTATACCACAAATTTGCCAAAAAAAGTCATCACGAAGTAAAATACTACCCCACCTGCTAATCTATTTTGTTAGATACAGTAGGTAAAAAAAAACGCAGCTTGTCCTCACCTCCGCAACAACAACAGCAACAACAGCAACAACAACAACAGTACAAATAACATAATTAATTATTTTCGATAAATACAGAAAACAAAAAAAATTGTCGCACTCGAGACACATACACCTGCACTGCCAGCACCACCGTAGCAAAGTATCGGTAGAGCACTCGTGCACACGTTGATAAGACCAACACGGCCACCGCGACCACACGCCTCACAGAAGACCCTGTCCCACTCCAGCCCCGATTGTTCCTACCACCAGTAGCAAAAGCAGTAAAATCCAGAGAGTAACGGCAACAATCCCCTCACCAAAACGCTTGATATCCGGAATTTGCAGGAGCGCCAGAGGCGCAGGCCAATGCTCGTCCCAAGCCTGGCTAGCTCGCCGCCTGTACCGGCGGACGAGCAACAACTCTCACCCGAGAACGAAACGTTAGAGCGCAGAACCCTAAAGAGCATCCTAAAAAAGCTGTCGGCGAGCTGTGGCGGGGGCAGCGGCGCAACGAGGGCGACGACGACGGCGCCCAGCGGGAGCAGCAGCAACGCGAGCACGAGCTCGGAGACGGGCCCGAAACGCCGGAGTTGCACCCCCGAGCTGAGAAAACTGATGCGCGCCCCGACCCTGGAGGGCTACGCAGCCCGGCACTCCAAGCTCTCCAAGAGCGTGACCTTTAACAAGTATACTTTGCAGAGCCCGCCGGGCCACGCCGGAACGACCCCAGCTGCTCCCGATGACGAGGACGACGACGACGACGACGAGCGCCAGCTGCTCACCGCCGCGACGATCACCAGTCTGCCGAGCTGCTCGTCCGACTTGGCCACTTCGAGCTCGCCGCTGTCCTCTGCCTCGTCGAAGCAGCCGTTGGCTCAGCGGGTGCCCTCTGCCGAACACCAGCTGCAGCTTGTGCCTGGCAACGAGGAGCCACAGCAGCAATTACTGGCCCAACCACTGCCATCGTCGCTCGTCGCGACGTCCACGTCGCATCATCACCACCATCATCTTCATTATCACAAGCACCAAAGCTTCCGTCCGTCGGGCAGTGGGACCGTCGCCACGAGCCACCAAGCCCTGGCCAGGAGGGAGGACGAGGGCATCGGGGAGCTCGTGTCCGGTATCAGGGACGTCCTGCAGTCGAGACTGGTGAGTTGTGCCACGTAGGACTCGACTCGATTGACAAAACAAACCAAAGTGTACGAATACCGACTGATCGGCCATATGTATATCCTCCAGGAGAGCATGCAGAGCAGGTTCGAGCAGCAGTTCTCGTCCCTGCAGCTGGAGATCCGCAAGCGGGACGAGATAATATCGCAGCTGCAGACGCGCATCCTCGAGCTGGAGAGCCCGGAGCTGGGCTGCCGGGGGGAAACCGAGTCAGTTGGCGACAGCACGGAACACGACGCCTCGCTCGAGGAGGACCTGGTGTTGGACGACAACGAGGACCACCCGTTTATGCGCGACAGCTCGGTCGACACGGTACTTACGACCAGGCCGCGCCGGCGCTACTCCTCGCCATCCTCGACCGTCACCGACTCGTCGTACGCTCTCGCCGGGCCGGCCCACAACAACCGGCGCTCCTGGGAGGAGCACTCCGAGGAAGAGACCCTCGAGCTACAGGACCTGCCGCACTCGATCACGCCCCAGAGCCTCTGGAAGGACGACGTGGCGATCGACCTCGAGTCCAGCGAGGACGAGGAGCCCGGGCGAGCCGTGGCTGGTTCCAGCAGTGGCTCGAGGGTACGCTCCCGCGCGTCGTCCAGCCGGTTCTTTGGGGCCGGTCGACAGCCTGCGCCTGGGAGCTTCAGCGACGACGACGACGACGACGACGAGGAGGACGAGCAAATGGTCGTGCTGAACGCGACGGGCCACAATAACTGGGAGGTGGCGATGCTGGCCCAGGAGCTCGAGAAGAGACGGCGGAGCAGCGAGTGCTCGAGTCCGGGCTCCTAGCGCATTAACGGCCTCATACTCCGGACGCTGAAGAGCTGGTGCAGCCTGGCCCGAGTCGAGAAATTTGGGGGACTACTGGTGTCTGCTGTGCTGAACCATCGGTGGCGCCCTACCCGTTGGACGCTTCCCCACAATAAGCGTCAACGACACAATGATCCGATGACCACTCGCAACCGTTTGTTTGCCGAACTGTTTCGCTTACACTTTTCCGTCACCATCGGCTAAGTAACTACTATGAATTTTTTATTTTTTTTTTTTATTTTTTTTTTTTTTATTAACAGTGGTTTTTGGTTTACATATATACATACATATATATATATATCACCTGCAGTCAAGGATACGTGGGTTGAGCCAGACTGTGTACTTAGATGTAACTGGTGTTCTAGACACCAATGGACAACACACATGCGCGTGGCCACATCGTGAAATAATTATCGTTCGTTGAAACGTTTAGATTATCTATCTTTGTATGAGAGAACGAAATATATTACATATAACTGCGTTGAGAACTGACGTACAGCATACACACCTACATACACACAATCACGTTTTAATATTATATTTTGGTTGTTCGAAAAAAAAATTTTAAAAAATTAAAAAAAAAATTAAAAAAAAATTATTAATAATCAATTGCACAATTAATCCTAAACTAAAAATACTATGATGATAATGTTATGAATATATGAATGCATAATTATACACGATAAAAGTTTATCGAATTATAATTATATATGAATATGATGTAGCGTGATGAATCGTTATTTAAGAATTTTATCAATCGTAGGCAAAGTACATGTGCGAGTGTTTTGTATGGTTTGCCAAATAATTTTAAACGAGATGATTAGTTATAATAATGCCTTCTTCGAAGACTAAAACAACGGACTTGCCGTATAAAAGCTGACAACACCATTTGCGCAAATTTACGATAACTCGGTTACGAGTATTTTAGTATGTTGATGTGCGTACGTGATTATTATGATTGTAGATAAAATCGAAAATCGTCATTACACAAGTGTGCAACGGAAAAATGTATCAAACGTCATCGATTGCTTGTACAATCATGTGGATGTTGTTTTCTTATCAATTGAAAAGTGCAAGGTTGATTTAAATAAGTGAGATGAAAAAGAAGGTGAGAGAGGAAAAACAAGCAAGACGTATAATTATCATTTAGATGAGCGAGAAAAACATGAACTTTCAACATCCCTCTGGTCTGTACAGTGTGCGCTAAAATCAAATTTGCGATATTTTTTAATGAGCCAAGACAGCGTGAGAAGATAACTCATTGTATAGGTTCGTTCGTACGGATTACATATTTTTCTACACCCTCAGACTACTGACACACATTTGTATCATACAATGCCAAAGAAAGATAATGAATCTCTCCGCGAAACAAATACACGTATTGGCGAGATCACATAAAAGCTCTTAGAAAAAAAAGACAAAAGAAGCATCATTATGTTTTATATGACAAATAATAATCATGAGAAAAATCCATCTATTCGATTGTAAATATTCACAGGTGCCTGAGACAAAAGAGTATATAATTATCGAGTACATGAGGGTGTAAGCGTACCTTAGGTGTTAAAAGTAAATTGATTAGATAGTATATAAGAGAACAAAAGTGAATTGTACATTAGAGAGATCAGGGTTAGTTAGCACTAAGTTAAATATTTTCACACAGATAACGCTAAGTTACTGTGATATGGTAGTTCTCATTCGACCATTGACCAAATCATATCTTGGACAAAAGAAAATAGTTTTTTCATTTCGTTGAACGAAAAAGATTGCTTTTCTCAATATATTGCTTTATCATTTCGTTCTACTTTTTCCTCGGATAAAAAAATTTTGTTTTTTTGGACTGACACCTCGTTCCATTTTTTTTTGTTTTTTTGTTAAAAAACATAATAGTTTTGTTTTATAGGACGAGAAACGTCATTTATTTGTTAAACAACATTTTATTCAAACTACAAATGTAATTGGTCGGCAGATACAAATAATTAAAATTTAACAAATAATGTATATTCGTGTAATACTGATTTAAGTAAATGAGAATCGCATGTTATTACTTTATACTTTTACATTATACTTAAAAAGAAATTATTAAATAAAAAAAGTTATGTTTTCTATTCAAGAAAAATACGGAATATTTTTTTAATCCGAAAAGACCACGGATCGTTATATTTTTTTAAATGTCTTTCGTAACCCAAATTAAAATTATTTTAATAAATAACTAGCAATAAGAAATGGTAATCAATAATAAGAATTAATAACGTCTAGACTTGAGACTCAGAATAAAATTTAATTACTGTTATTATTTTATTTTTATCGTAAATGACATTTCAGAAATTGAAAAAACATAAATAAATGATAACATTTATGAATTA